GTGTTCTAAACCAGTCATCATGAGTGTTCCAAACCAGTCATCATGAGTGTTCTAAACCAGTCATCATGAGTGCTCCAAACCAGCCATCATGAGTGTTCTAAACCAGTCATCATGAGTGTTCTAAACCAGTCATCATGAGTGTTCTAAACCAGTCATCATAAGTGTTCCAAACCAGTCATCATGAGCGTTCTAAACCAGTCATGAGTGTTCTAAACCAGTCATCATGAGTGTTCTAAACCAGTCATCATAAGTGCTCCAAACCAGTCATCATGAGCATTCTAAACCAGTCATGAGTGTTCTAAACCAGTCATCAAGGGTGTTTTAAACCAGTTATCATGAGTGCTCCAAACCAGTCATCATGAGTGTTCTAAACCAGTCATCATGAGTGCTCCAAACCAGCCATCATGAGTGTTCTAAACCAGTCATGAGTGTTCTAAACCAGTCATCATGAGTGTTCTAAACCAGTCATCATAAGTGCTCCAAACCAGTCATCATGAGTGTTCTAAACCAGTCATCATGAGTGTTCTAAACCAGCCATTATGAGTGTTCTAAACCAGTCATCATGAGTGTTCTAAACCAGTCATCATGAGTGTCCAAACCAGTCATCATGAGTGTTCTAAACCAGCCATTATGAGTGTTCTAAACCAGTCATCATGAGTGTTCTAAACCAGTCATGAGTGTTCCAAACCAGTCATCATGAGTGTTCTAAACCAGTCATTACGAGTGCTCCAAACCAGCCATCATGAGTGTTCTAAACCAGTCATCATAAGTGCTCCAAACCAGTCATCATGAGTGTTCAAAACCAGTCATCATGAGTGTTCTAAACCAGTCATCAAGGGTGTTTTAAACCAGTTATCATAGGTGTTTTAAACCAGTCATCATGAGTGTTTTGCACCAGTCATCACGAGTGCTCTAGACCAATCATCATGAGTGTTTTAAGCCAGTCATCATGAGTGTTTTGCACCAGTCATCATGAGTGTTCTAAACCAGTCATCATGAGTGTTCTAAACCAGTCATCATGAGTGTTCTAAACCAGCCATTATGAGTGTTCTAAACCAGTAATGAGTGTTCTAAACCAGTCATCATGAGTGTTCTAAACCAGCCATCATGAGTGTTCTAAACCAGTCATCATGAGTGTTCTAAACCAGTCATCATGAGTGTTCTAAACCAGCCATCATGAGTGTTCTAAACCAGTCATCATGAGTGTTCTAAACCAGTCATCATGAGTGTTCTAAACCAGTCATCATGAGTGTTCTAAACCAGTCATCATGAGTGTTCTAAACCAGCCATCATGAGTGTTCTACACCAATCATCGTGGGTGTTTTAAACTAGTATTTGCAATTAATTCATTATTTGCTATTTTAGGTGATTTTTTTTATTCTTTTTAGTTTTTATAATTGAAAAAAAAACAATTATTATTATTATTATTGAAATAATGCCTTAATTCTTATGAAAATAGTTACAAATGGGACATTTTTTGTGTTTTGTTTAGAATAGTTTTCTCCAAAAAGAATATTAAACTTTTTTGAAACCAAAAAAAAAAAAAGTGGTATGATGATATTTTAGCCAGTTGGTATGCTAGACAGTGGTACCATTTGAATGACGAGATCCACTTCTACATTTAATGAGAATGCTTTATAACCCGGAAATACTCAAATACGTCTCAATCAGTAAATGATAATGTAATCATAGCTACGATCATTGACAGTGTGTTGTTATATGCTTTATTGGTTCATGCAGTTGATAGAAATGATACTTAAGACCATCTACTTACTTATACTTCCGAAATGTTCTCAATACTTTCTGAAAATGTTCCCTTTCGAGCCGATCTTCTTCATTGTCTTGGTACGCAGCATTCGAACTATGCGCCATATTGGTTGCACTGCACATGCGTAGCACAACGCTTGACCTCTCGATAACCAAGATGCATTGCGCGTTGTGTCACTGGGTCAGAATGGTGCAAAAACACACCAGTTGCGAGTGGTGAGTTGCGAGTCGCCAGTAGCAAAATGTGTCAGTTGCGAGCGCTAAAAATAGCGATTGCTAGTAGACTGGCGCAGTTGGGGCGTTTAATTTAGCGCGAAATCCCCTGTAATTGTGAAATCACCCCCCCCCCCCCCCCACTGGTTTATTCTGCATGGCCCTCTATCGATAGGAACCCTTCGATTTTTCCAAATAACATTTCCGGAACACATGCCGTGAAACCTAACTGTCCACAATGTAACTAATGGCATTTCAGTTGCCTTTTCTGCTGAAATTCTCCCAGAATAACATTCTGTACCTTACCGACCTTAGCCGTGGAAGGTAAGGTATTTTGCTTCGTCTGTCTGTCCGGCTGTATACCGACGATGTGTATATAATTGACAGACGAAACAAAATACCTTTCCGGACCCATAACGCCGCGAATCCACGGCTATATGTACGTACGCTTGTCACTGAACTTCAATTTTTAGTTTGTTTATTTTCACTTCACACCGACTTCAGATCACGATATCTAACATAGTTCCTGGACTTCAAGTTCGAATAACGCATAAAAAGGGGTATGATAAGGGTTGGAATTGACCCCTTACATTGCATGCTCTACTGTGTGTTTAATATTACGGGTTAATGACGATGTAGTGACACTAGAAAACATGATGCCAGAGTGTGTTGCGTCAGACATATACATGGACTTCACTCCAACCTGCCAAGTGTGCCTTATATGGGTTATTACTGCTACTGACAAATTGGAGATAATACTAGTATTATCCCTGAGTTGAACAAAGGGAATAATATTATCCCTGAGTGGTCCCACGAAACAAAAAAGATAATGCTATTCCTAAGTGGTCTCAACAGTTGAACAAAGTGGCCCAACATCAAGGGAGATAATATTATCCGAGTTGTTCCAGAATCAGA